CCCCTCCAGGAGCTGCATTTTAGTCACTTGCCCTTCCCTGGGTCTGCAGGTGCTTCATGCCTGCACCCTGGGAGGCCTGCACTCACCCTCCAATGTCTCTTCTCCAGACCCTTCCCTAGACATTCCCCTTCTCATGCTCAGGCAGACAATCCCTCCCTCAGGCTTAACTGACCATTTCCGAGAGCCTTTCATGCATTCCAGAGACTTCCTCTAGACCTGGAATCAGGGGCTTTTGGTTCTCCTCCTGCTTCTCTGCTACCTCACTGGGTGAACTTGGATGATTCAAAAAGCAAAGCAGTTGGAGATGGTGATTGAAGTCTGATCATTGGAGGTCAATTTCCAGTCGTTTGTTAAATAAATATGGATGGAGTCCAACATTCTTCTCTCCCCTGGTTCACAGGAACACCCCCTACCCCTGACCTCTTAGCCCATAGACGGTGTTGTCACACGTGGTCAGGGGTCTTACAGCCTCCTGCCTCTGCCCCTTAAATGTGCCCTGATGCTTGCAGCGACATCACCATCACCCTGAGTGCTGTCGATACCACTTAGAGAAGGGTGCTCACTGTGTGCCGGGCACTGTCCCTTCGTGCCCACGACACTCTGAAGGAGGTACTATTATCACGCCCATTTACTGATGGGGTAAGCGGGGCACAGGGAGCTTACGGGCATCGTCCAAGGGGGCGTGGTACGGCCCCATGACTGATCTAAAGCTGGTGCCTTGAGCTTGTGCCACACTGCCCGCTCAGCCTGGGCCTCCCGTGATGCTCCCTCAGGCCCCTGCACCTCCCTGCTGTGGACACCTGTTCCGAAATAGTGAGCCAAATCTCCGTGATGCCTGCTACCTGAGGGCCCTGTGCTAGGGTCTCACACGCCTGGGGAAGCTGAGTCTCCAGCTGAGGCTGGGCTGACCCAGCTGCGGGTGTGAGCAGCTTTCCCTGGCAGGGCAGAACAGACTTGTGGAAGTGTGGCAATGCCCTGGAAGTAGGGGACTTAATTTATGTTCCTAAAGCAACAAGACACAAAGTAACAACAACAATAAGATAACAATAAGAAGAAAATAAAAGGAGTGTCTTCGGCAGTAAGATCTATCTTCTCTGCTAACTTGCAACAAAAGATTGCGTTTTTATTCCTGTGTTTAGTAATAAAAGTTTACTTTAGTAATAAAATAAAAATTAAAAAAAGATTGTTAGTGAGCCTGTAGTATTTTTAATTTTTTTTTTTGTCAAAAATGGAAATTATTTTCTCAGATTCCCAGAGCCTGGGAACTCCCCTCTGAAGCACCAAAGTGCACCTACAAATAGCACACAGGATGAAGAAGCTTAAGGTCCGCTTAAAACCGAACCCCTAACAGGCTCCTTTCTTCCATAATTTCACGGTTTGTTTGGAAAACTGCCCAACGATGACACTGTATCATCTGGGATAACACAGCCCTGTTGTGGAGAGCGATTGCTGCAAGGCAAGCATGTCTTCTCAAGCAGTGTGGCAGATAAAGCATGAATTTAAAACCGAGTCAGAAAAATAATTCTCAAAGTGCCAACTAGTACGCAAATAGCAAAGCATGTCACAAGATAACTTTTAAAACGCAAATTCTGTCAGAAGTTAAAGTTACAGAGAATTCCACCCACTGTCTTGGTATTCTTTGGTGGTATTTGGTGCTGATGATAAATGTGACTCCAATTTTGCCACAGGAAGAAAGAGCTACACCATCCCACATCCCTCTGTCTCCCTGATTTTCGGTGAGAGACCCTGCTTGGGACTTTGGGAGAGCTGGTCTCAGAGCTGCAGACTGGAGCTGAAGCAATGCTTTTGAGCCCTGTTTTGATTTCCTCACATGCTAATGATCCCTAAATGATGTTATATTTCATTCTGCATTCACAAGGAATCCCATTGCCATGGCAACTGGAATATGATAACAGAAGTTTTCTTTGTAACTGGGGCTCCGAATGCTGCCTCTCCTCCCTTGCAGAGTGGCGAGGGCTGTGTCCCCACGCAGTGCTCAGGAGAAACCTCCCCCACAAGGGTGCAGGGACTTGGCCCAGCGAAATCCACCACCTGTTCTCTCTGCTCTACATACTCCGGCCCCATAAAGATTGTCCTAATCGTGACTTCTGGGGACAGATAAAGCCCCAGAGAATAAAGTCATAACTTTCTCTTTGTAAAGTCTGATAAGAAAGAAGAATGGAACATGGATGATTTTATAATTTTCGTTTGTATGGGGAAAAAAGCTGTTTTTAAGTTTCCTGTATCGATAACTTCCTGGAAATTTGGGACAAAAGACAAATTATCATCAGTGGAACTCAAGATGGCATTATTCTGCTCCCATCTTGGGGTAGGGACTGTAGGATAGTGTCCTTTACACCCTCCTTTCTTCCAAGACTCCCACCCCCAAAGCCCTCTCTCAACTGTTTCCTCCTGCTCCCTGTTGGAGCCCTGATTCTGGTGACAGTGGAGAGGTGCTCACTCAAAGCAGCCTCCTTGGGGCTGGCCTGCCTTCCATTGGTCAAGCCCCTGTGATCAGTGCACAGGTCTTTCCTGTTTGCTGGGCACTCCCTATGGGAACGCTAGAGGAGGAGAGGCAGGCTGGCCCTCCCGCCTGCCAGGGACTGAAGCTGACCCTAAGCATGAGGCAGCAAAGCCTTCTCCATGGGGTCCAGACCCCACAGAACCAGGTTTGCAGAAGGAGAAGTGCTGGCTCCAGGTAGGCATCTCCAGGACAGCATCAGGACCTGACACAGCGCCATCCTCACCCACTCTCCATCTACCAGCAAGCCACCTGGGACCAGACCTGCCAGGCAGAGCCCTTGTTCCTGCTTCTGCATTTCCTTCATATTTTGTGCATCTCTTTGCTCTAGGCCTGAGACCACACTGGATTAGATCAAGGACAACAACAGGTGTCATTGATACCCAACACTTGTAGTACGCCCAGCAACGCTAAGTGGGTTCTGTGCAGAATCTCATTTGCTTCTCCCCACAGAGCAGGTGGGTACTGCCAATAGCCCCATTTTACAGCCAAAGAAAAGGCCCAGAGAAGTGGAGTGATGTGCCCAAGGCCACAAAGCTGGGAAGTGGCAGAGCCAGGTGCAACCCCAGTTCTCTCCAGGAGCTTGTGGGTACCGATCTCCTTCAGGAGAGCAGCTCTGCCACACCGAGTGGGTGGGAATTCACATCTGTGAAAAACTCAATGCATCAGAAGGATTCGGTGGATAAATTCAATCAGTACGAAGCAGGACCTAGCCCTAATCTGCTTGCCCCGCCCTCGTCCCCTCCGGCTCTCCCCCATCAGCCTGCACCGCGGCAGGTTTTGCGATGCTTGTCTGTTCCCTTGCATGAAATGGGAAATGCCGTTTGAACAACCGATGGTGAGGGAGGCTGTGCACACTCCGATGCAGAAATAAAAACCTTTAGAAAGATGCAATTTGGAGGATATTGGAAACTGGAGAATGGAACATCAGTCTATAAAATTCAACATGGCCAATAAAGCTGGAGCAACTGGTCAAGCGCTTTGGCACTCACGGTGCTGGGGAATCGCAGGCATGTGGCTGGGCAGTGCTCTCAGACCAGGGACATTCTTCCTGGGCTCATTTTGGCCTCATTTCCATAATGTGCCTCATGATTTCTGAAGCACCTCCATGTTAGCACAGCCATGAAAGTGTCCAAGACTATTCTCATCGCAAGATAAACTTGACTTTCCAGAGCCCTGCCCACTCCAGCACCCCACTGCCACAGCCAGTGGGTGAGGGTGGGAAAGCACCACTTTATGTGGGTGCAGGTGGCACGGGTAGAGGCTGCAGGAGGCCAACAGACCTGTGCTCCACCACTGAGAGCACCCTGACGTCCCAGTCACACCAACTTGGGCCTGGTGCCTGTCAGAGTGAGGCTGGAGCTCTGTTCTCCCTTCTGGGTGCCCAGGCCCCCGGCAGCTTGGACCACTCAGAAGCCCTTTTCTGTCAGTGCTGCAGGCACTTGGTGGGGCTCCATCCCAAGCCTCCTCTTCCCCTCCCTGCCCTACCCGAAAGCAGGTCTCTGACCTCGTGCAAACTCAGGCAGGGTCTCCCACCTCCAGTGTTCCCCAGCTCAGGCGATGTGGGCCTGCTCCCATCTGCCCAGATGCTGCTTCTGCCTTCTCATATTGCCTAATTTATTCATGTGTGGCCATTTGGTTTTAGCATCACAAATATTTCTACAGGCTGTGGCATGTACCATTCATTGGGGCCACGTCAACACAGGACTTCGTATTCTAACGCTCACATCTTCAAGCACCTGTGAGCTGTTGAGCATCTACTTGGTGCAAGGCACTGTGCTGCGTGCTGAGAATATAATAGTGCACGAAGAGCCCTGCCCTTGAGGCTCTCACCGTCCAGTGGGAGCCGCCACGCCCTTCTCTGACTCAACCCCAGCACAGAGCACGAACCCTTTGGCCCCAACTCCATGGACATGTTCTGATGTCCATGCAAGGCCTTCCTTGTCTTGCTCAGAGGTGTTTTGGACAGGCCAGGCATGGAGGGCAGTTCCGTCGGCGACCACTCCAGGCCAGAGTTTGAGAGCCTGCCATGCTGGGAACCACTGTGCTGGTGTCCATCCGGCCACATTCTATGCACATCATGGCCTCCTGACTCATGCAACTCTGTCTGGAGGGGTAAATGTGGCCTCTGTCACCACCTTGCAAGGGCCCACCCTGCGGGAGAGACCTGGGCAATGCCTTGTGGTCTGATTCCTACTGGACAGGTATTCTGCACCAGCCAGGGTTTTGCTGGGCCTCCCTGGATTCTGCTCTCCAAGGGCCTCCTCTAAGGGCAGGGGGCCTCTGGAGGTGGACGCAAACAGAACATGCATCGTAGAAATGCCACTGCTGCCATTTTGCTAAGGCTCCAGCCTTCCACTTTCTCCACTGCCTTCTCACAGTTAACGTGCAGACTCAGCACCCAGGTCATTGGTCAAAAGGGCATTTGAAGATCCATCACGAAACCCAAAAGCATAGGGGCAAGGAGCCATCTTCCTACCTTTAAGGAAACAGTCCTTGCTGTGGACGATGACGATCTTCTTCCCCAGCAGGCAAGCGGCACGGTGGAGCTCGCAGTGGTTTTCATAAAACCTCCCATCGGAGCCACACACGGGCATGTAGCTGGGCCTGCATGCCTCCAGGCACCGGCATTCGGGCTCCCCTGTCTCTCTGCTGAGCATGCACCTGCTTCCGCGGCTGCAGAACTTCTTCCCGCAGGAGGCCAGCAGCCCGTCATGGCTGGAAAGACCTGCCAGGCACACAAACACAGAGGGTCAGCTACAAGCCCTTGGGGCTGGCGGTCATGTGCCTCCTTGAGCAGAGGCTCTATTGACCTGTGAAGCCGAGGCCTAGGGGCTGGGGGTGCCCGAAGGAGTCCCTGCCCCTCCAACTGGAGGTGGCTGTGGGTGCAAGAGCAGTGCCCTGCTGTGTGGAGTTTAGGGTTTACGGCTGGCTCACACCAAACATCTCAGATACAACCCTCCCATCCTGGGAGGGAGGAGTAAACAGGGCGCCGCATGGAAGTGGCAAAGTGCCAACGGACCCTGCAGCTGTGAGGAGGAGGGCTTTCCAAGAGACAGGGGGCTTGGGCCAAGGCTCCCCTAACCACGTTACAGGGAGTGTTTCTGCCTCTGAAGAGTTTGCACAGGGGCGGGGCGGGGGCAGGGAAAGGGGGCCAAGATGTGGTCCTAGGAGACTTAGAGAGCCACACTGAGGAACTTCAGTCTGATATGTTAGGAACTGGGGAGCCATTACGAAGTCTAGGAAGTAAGTGTGGAATAAGGAGAAAGCGGTACTCTTAAGTGTTCAGCATTGGGGGCAGCTAACGTAGGGAGGCCAGAGGTTGACCTTTTCCTCTGGGGAGAATATGGCTTTCCAGGACACACATCATCAGTGGTGGCACTAGCAGCCTTTCTTCAAGGCCCAGCCCTTTCTAGCACAAAGCTGTAGCCATGGGCAAGAAGGCTGAGACCCTGGGGCTGGCCTGGTGGTATAGTGGTTAAGTTCAGCTTGCTCTGCTTCAGGGGCCCAGATTTGTGGGTTTGGATCCTGGGTGTGGACCTATACCACTCATCAGTCATGCTGTGGTGGCGACCCACATACAAAATAGAGGAAGATTGGCACGGATGTTAACTCCGGGCAAATCTTTCTCAGCCAAAAAAAAAAAAAGGCTGAGACCCTGGAAATGGCAGCTGCCATGTGCTTTGGGTCTCAAACCTGTCACATTGCTGGGTGTCCCCTGCACCCAACATATGCCCGTGATCTCAGGCCATGGTGCGCAGAGCTCATGTACCAAAGCAGGCAGGATAGCTGGTAGAGTGACTTATTGCTGAAAGGGTACGCTTAATTGAAAGACCAAATGATCATCTATAATCGACATTACACGCCATCACAGGAGTCCAGAAAGTTGGATGATTGTCATGCGGCATTAGTGGCAACAGAAAGGAAGTTGAGAATTATAAAAGGATATCAAAATACAAATAATTAAAACATGAATGCAGATTTTACGGCCATAGAAGTCTTTGCTTTTACATTTTAATGAAATTTTCTTCAAAATAACTCAGCAAGACAGAATGGCCCTGGCAATCAAGACCGAACTCTCAGCCCCAGCTCCTATCCCATGTGATGAAAATGTCTAAGGAAAAAAAAAACTTCCTTTTCTTGTTTTTGGTTAAGTCTGCTTTTCATCATTATCGATTTGAAAGGAAAAAAAAATCAGTTATCAGTAGATTAACTGCTTGATTCAATAACTCATTTAAATCCCTCTAGCCTTGACAAGCTAAGAAATATTGACTTTTTCTTGAATCATAATAAACTAGAAGGTCAGAATATCTCTGTGCAGTGTAAAAGTGCAGATCCTAAGCAGGCATGTGAATCTCCTTTATCCACTTTGCTAATTGTTCGCCTGTCACCGTGAAGGCTCGGTGGCATTCACTGGCCCCAGTGCACATCTTCCACACAGGCGGAGGGAGCCGAGGCGCATGGCGGTGGGAGGCTGTGGGCTGGAGGCCTCCACCCGTGGTGTTTATGGCTGCTTCGCCACAGAGTGTGTTTGATTAGCATGACTCTCTTGGGTGGTTAGAAAATGGGTTACCCTGGAAAGTGCTGGTGGCTACTAGAGGAAACTAATATAGCTCTAAAAATATCAGCTTTTGTTTCTTTCCCAAGACAGAGTCAGGACACAAAGCACTTCTGTCACATCACCATTTTAATAAATACCCACACGTGATGGGAAGGGCAGCCACTAATCGCCCCATTTGGAAAAAACAGCCAGAGTTTCCGAGCCTCCGTCTCAGTTCCCACTCTAGGCTTTGGATCCGCTGTGCTGCCCACCCAGATGCCCTCTCCTTCTGCCTCAGCTCCAACTCACCCTTGGGGTCCATTTCCTCTCTGAGGTGGTGGCTGCCAGCTCCCATGCAAGTGCCCCTCTGAAACCCCTGCCCTAAGACTGTCTGCTCCCGTCTCCGCCTACTGTCTGGTCTCGGGAGGCCCCACGGGTGGGGGCCTTTGTCCTCGTGCAGCCCCCCTACACTAAGGTTTTAGGAAACACAACAGTTTTAAAAGCTGATCTCCTTAACTATGATTTGGTGCCACTGGTCAAAGCCCAGCTTAGAGGCGGGGGTGGGGAGGGTGGTGGGGGCCCCACAGGCAGTGACCTTTTGAGGGGGGCATCTCCCCTTGCCTATTCCAAGGGGGCAGGAGGGAAGCTGGAAAGATGGAGGCATGAAGGGAGACAAATGTCCATGCAGGTGGACCTTCTGGGGTAAAGGGGACTGGCAGCTGGAGTGGCAGAACAGGAAGGGGCTTCAGAGACCACCTAATCCAGCCTAGGCAGTCAAAGCAAAGCCAGCTCACGTGGATGTGCGGAGAGTCCCCTCTACTGCATTCTTTCTCCTTTGAACCGCCCGCATGCCCAGATCTTCAGACGCCTCTGAAGACAGTGCTGCAGGGTGCCTCCAGCGCCCACACTTGATTAGCTTGCAGATGTGATGGAGGCCTTCCCCATGGGCTGTGCTCTGAGGGCACAGTGTTAAGAAAACACCTGTGCCAACCTGTGCTCATTGAAGTTGTGAAAAACACTTAGGTTCTCTCTGACATGGAAATCAGCTGTCTGCAAATATTTGATTCCTAATTATCTGCAATTAAGACAAAAGTAGCTTTAAAGCCCTGCAGCTACCGTTCCCAGTCTCTGGACAGCAGGCCCCATGACAGCTGAGAGCGCCTTGCACAGGGTGGACCCGGAATCCCCATCCCGGCCACAGAGCCGCTGACCGAACGGCACTTTCCTCATTAAACAAGCCCCTTGTCACCACTTTCTCCTTGTTATTAAAACAGAATGAATCCCCTGCTCCTTGCGGGATGATGATCAAACAGTAATGGGAACGGTAACCAAGTGAGGCCGCCAGCAACTGCCCATAGTGTTTATGAGAAGGACCACGCTGCATGGAAAAGATGTAATGTGCTTAATTCATAGTCATAAAGAAAGCCATTGACCCAGCTTAGAAACTGATCATCTTACCAAATAAGCTGCTTTTCAACACTAATTAAATTTATTGAACATGGTCAGAAATGGGAATTCTTACATAAAAGTTATGGCAGCAGGAGAAACCAGTCCATTGGTGTCAGTCAGTGCTCAAGACTCCCTCTGTGATTCAGATGAGGATTCTTGATTGGAACTTCACAGATGGGGTTGCCGTCACCTCAGAGCACGGGTGAGGGTGCTGTAGGTTAGCAGTGGTGGAAGGCAGGCCCGCGTGATCCCAGCGGAGGGATCAGACAGAGAACCCGGACAGAGAAAGTGGGTCTTTCTTCTTCACCGGAGCAGGAAGCTCCTCCATTGTTTTCTCATCACTGCCCACACTACAGAGCACAGACAATTGGTTCTTTTGCTTCCAAACTCGGACTGAGTCTCTGTAACTGGTTCAGGGATGGTGCCCTGAATGGCCCACAAGGAGAAACCCCTGAGCTTTCCACTCTCGGATGCTAATTGCCGCAGGCATGTTTGCACAGGGCAGCATTTCCGAGAACTTGTCCTTGGCTTGATGGCTGAGGAGAGCCCCTTACACGGCCTCCGGAAGTCTCCACTCCAGGCCTCAGTCAGGCCTCCTCCTGCAGGCCTCAGGCCCCCGCCATAAACCACCGTGAGATGACGGCTTGGCTCTAAGGTGGCCACACACTCTGCAGGGCCCAAAGTGGCCCAAGAATAGTGGGACATGGATGCAGAAGGCACGCACACTGCCAAGAACCAGCTGCCCTGTGCACTGCTGCCTGCCGTGACCCCCAGCCTGGCACAGCAGCAGTCTCTGGCTTCTGCAGAGAGAAGGTACTCATACAGGAGCCAAGTGCCCTCCTGTCAGCAGACACAGCCCTTTAAACACGGATTACATGCTTTATTTTCTGTGCATCAATACCAACCCACCAGGGAGCCGCAGCCCCTACTCTGGGTCACTGCCAGGTTTTTAAAGACCTAGAGCTCAGGACTTGCCTGTGGAAGAGTGATGTGTGTACAGAGGTGTGCAGATGTGTGGGGTGTGCTGTCCAGGAGCTGGACACAAAGGTCTCGGTACTCTGCCCACGCTCACAAGAAAACTTATAATCTCAGACATGCCCAAGGTGGTCCGGAGACAGGGTGTGTGGTCAACTTCGACTCCCTCATTGCAGAGACCACCCAAGTGCCTTGTACGTGGCTGCAGAATTTGGGTTTGTGTGAGAGCCAGGCAGAGACCAGCTCTGTAGGCAGTGCAGTTTCTATGCCCCCATTGGTGGTAACAACGGGCACTTCAGGAGTGCTTGCCTTGCCCGCTCTCCATCCACCTATTCATCCAGCAAACAGCCATGGAGCCGCTCCTATGTGCCAGACCTTATTCTAGGTGCTGGGGACACAAGGCAGACCAGGATACTGTCCTCAAAGCACTTTCATTACAGTGTAGGAAGACACACAAGAGTGTGAACAGGCAAACAAACAAGACAATGGCGGGATGTGGGAAATGCTGGGAAGGAAATACACCAGGTGCTGCCACGGGCCAACTTGAATCTGGAGGTTGGGGAGCCTCCCTGAGGGGATGAGATGTGACCTGAGACCTGAAAGTGGGGAGGGCAGTGCCCTGGGGCAGGGGAGAGTGCAGCAGCCTAGGGAGCCCAGTGTGCAGAGCCAGGGGGCTGGCACAGGGAGAGGCCTGGCTTGCAAAGCCCAGCTCCCAGGCAGACCTCACCAGGCAGACCCAGTCTGCAGGGAGCCGTGACTGCAAAGGCAAAGTTGCCGCCTTGCCCAACTGTACTCCTGGGAAAGTGGGGTGACTTTGGTTTCCTAGAAGCCTTCATCAGCCCCTGGGAACTGAGTGACAGAGGGAGGTCCCAACACTCTGATGTTCAGCACCCCAGCTCCACTCCTGGCTGAAAGGGCCTGTCCTCAAACATGCCCACAGGCCAGAGGGCTCTTGGCATCTCCTAGGCTGCTGGTGGGCAAGAGAGCAGTCCCCCTGGGCTCTTACCATTGGCCACCTTGGTGGCAACCTTCACACTCTCTGGGGGCCCTGGGTGCTAGGTCCACCTCTGCCCTGTAAAGTCTCATTCACACTCAGGTGTTGGGAAGAGACTCTGTAATTCCTCCTAGGGAGAGGTGCATTTCTAGGACCCGGCCAGAGAGGGCAACGCTTACAGAAACTACTATTTACTGAGGCATGCCATGGGCCAGGCACCATGCCTAATACAGAATACATGTGCTCATCTAATCCTTGTAACATCTTTTCAAGTACATGCACAGGTCTCACTCTCAATGCATTTGTGGCATGTGTATATGCCCATTTTACGGATTAGGAAATATGAGTTAAGAAGTGACATGCCTGTGGTCAGATGGCAAGTAGGTTGTAGGTGGTAGAGCCTAGATTTGAATCAGTCTCTCTCCAAATCCTTCCGACTTGGGATCATCTGCTCACCTAGGGATATGGTCCCTGCCTCAATGAGCTCACGCCAGGATGGTCCAGATGCCCATAGTTTGAGCTTCTCCAACATCAGGATACATCCAGACATCAGCACACTTGGTCTGTAGGATCCCTGCTGCTCACACACCTCAAGAACACGCAGCTCGAAGGCCAATTTAGCAACTTTTCTAAGGGCTGGAAGTTTATAGTGCTACAGGAGGAAGCCTTGCTTGGATCTTTGAACATCACAGGCCCGAACCCACTCCTTATCATTGACGGACACCTGGCCAGTGACCCCCCCGACCTCCCTCCATTACGAAGTCTTTCAGCTTCAGCCCCTCCCTGTCTGCCTCCCCTGGCCTTTTCCCCTGAAATTGTTCAGGTGACTGCTGGGCCAGTGTGATGTCCTCTCAGTGACCAAAGAGCAGAGCCTAGGCCGAGGTAATTGTGTGCTTCACGAAAGCGGAATTCGGACCAGCTCTGAAAGACTTGGTCAAATTCTCCAGGTCCCAAAGCTTAACAGAAACATACTGTGACCATCGCTGGGAGGTGATGTAACTTGCCATGTGTATTGCTCACAGATCCTAAACCCAGGTCTGACAAACTGGCTTCAAAACAAACCACTAAGTCAAAGTCAGAAATGCCTGGAACACAGAGAGGGAAGGAGGACCTTTAACCTGTCAGTAGGCTCTCAATTCTGCCTGAGCAGTTTATATCTAACCAACTTGGTATTAAGCCAAAGCACAAACAAAGTTCCTACATATTGTCAATGCCCCTGGGCAGGGCTTTTGGAGTGGTTATTTCCAGTCACAGATGAATACAAGTGCCAAAGTATACTTTTCAAAAACTTAAAAACATGACTCTCTTTATCTTTTTAGACAAGAAATAACAAGTGTTGAGAGGATGTGGAGAGAAGGGAACTCTCGTACTTGGCTGGTGGGAATGCAAACTGGGGCAGACACTATGGAAAACAGTATGGAGATTTCTCAAAAAATTAAGACTAGAACTACCATATGATCCAGCTATTCCACTTCTGAGTATTTATTCAAAGAACAAGAAAATACCAATGTGAAAAGATATTTGCAGTCCTATGTTCATTGCAGCATTGTTCACGATAGCAAAGACTTGGAAACAACCTAAGTGTCCATTGATGGATGAATGGATAAAGAAGATGTGGTATATATACACAATGGAATACTACTCAGCCATAAAAAAGATGAAATACTGCCATTTGCAACAACATGGATGGACCTTGAGGGTGTTATGCTAAGCAAAAAAAGTCAGACAGACAAAGTCAAACACTGTATGATTTCATTCATAAGTGGAAGATAAAAACAACAACAAACACATAGATATAGAGATTAGATTGGTGGTTACCAGAGGGAAAGGGAGGGGAAGAGAAGGAAGGTGAAAGGGGTAATAGGGCACATGTGTGTGGTGATGGATGGTAATTAGACTTTGGGTGGTGAACACAATGTAGTCTACACAGAAATCAAAATATAATGATGTACACCTGAAATTTTAATAATGTAATAAACCAATGTTACCTCAATAAAAATAAATAAAATGCAAAAAAAAAAAACCAAACACATGACTCTCATGAGAATATAAAATGAACATAAGATAAAGATTTATTCAACTCATTAATGAGGGGACCCGTAGGAGGGTGAAGCTGGTTCAAAGGGGAGTTGGAGGAGGTCTACGGGTGTTGTAGAAAGAAGGTGGGATGAGGTGGCTAGATGAGGCACACAACTGATTAATGACCTACAGGGCAAGAAAACCATAACCTTTGGGGTTATTTTTCCCACCAGAAAGAAATAGTTTGCATCTTTATGGGAAGGAAATCTATAAGTTAACATGTAACAGCACAGTCTGGGCCTTTAATCAGCAGAAAATAGTGAGTTGAGCAAAGATGCCAGCCCCCAGCCCAGATCAGTAAACAACTCTTGGGTGAGCCTGTATGACACTGGGAGGACTTGCCACCCTCCCTTTGCCTTATTCCCAGGTTTTGGATATTTTCCCCAAAGCCACAAAGTGCCTACAGGGACAGATGTCATCTGAGTAGGCTGCCAAGGACTTGCATCATTTCCCCTACAGGGCATCTCCTTCCTTTGGAGCCCCTAGCCTCACAAGAAGGCCCCAGAAGGGAGCAAATGAGGCCCGAAACCACTGAGCTCAGCTTTGCTGAGACAGACAAGAACTCTCTTTGGGAAAGGCACCTGGTGGAGCAGAGCCAGACGAGCTGGAGTTGGCCTGCCGGCCTGCGTGATAACTGACGACAGGCACTGCTTCCCCACGGCGAGTGCGCGTCAGAGCTCATGCTCGCCCTCTCGGAAGGCCAGCTGGGTTCCAAGTACAGACTGCGGGGTTAAATCTTGGTATTGACCCAGCCCTGTGCTCCTTGCATTTGTTAGCTGTGTGATCCCAGGCAAGTCCCCCCACTCTCTTTTCCCTCTAATTGAAAAATGAGGATAACAATGGTTTGCCGTTCACAAGATTGTTTTGAGCATTAAACGAGATAATTCATGTAAAGAGTCTGGCACACAGTAAGTGCTCAATTCAGACATTCAGAATTAGTGATGGATCGAATAAATGAGACTAAGAGGTAAGAAGCCATTGGGTTTTACGGACGCTAGTGTACACACGTGTGGGCTAGTTACAGTCTTCAGGAGGCCCGCCTTAAAGAAAGGGTGAGCATATTTGTATTGAAAGTATTGACTGGTTTGAAAAGGCAGACTTGAAATAGCATGCAAACGTGAAATAGGCTGCTTCAAAAGACCTCAAGGAAATGCTTCCCTTGCAATTTCCCTCACATCGGGGATTTGCTTGACCCATGTAAACTCTGCCTGGCTTCCGAGATGGGGGAGTCTGAAATCACATTTTCAGGGCATAGTGACCAGAACTGACCTGCAGGTCAAACTCTGCAGGATCCACTCCACACCTCAGGGCAGTGTTGGTTGGTCACCAGGGCCCCCCACCTGCCAGGAGAGCCTGGAGCTCAGTTTCAAAGGCAGCCCAGGGCTTGGGCTCTGGCGACCGCTCACCAGTCACATCCTGGTGCTTCTCTTCCTTCTGGGAGCCCTTTGCACTGTGATGCCATCTCCACCTCTATACCGTGTGATGAAAGTGAAGCTACCTGACTCACGATTTCTAGAGCTTTCTCCCAGAGGCCTCCCACAGGCAAACTCCACCTAAAATGGGCTCCCAGGCTACTGGCCTGGAACTTTTTCTGGCCGATTGCCAGCACTCAGCACTTGTCACCATAAAAGAGGAGATCCCCTGCCCCTTTTGCTCC